ACCTGCAGGACAGGGGGCCTTGAGGACCGAGTTTGGGGATGCCTGCCCTAAACCCTTCAAACACCAGGCCTAAATAGAGCAGGGACCATATAGTGGACTTTATAGTGAATTCAGTTAACTGACCATTCAAACGATCGGACGCAGCCGAGGACTCTTCCAATCCGGCGTAATCAGCCAATAAATCTGGCCATCGGAGGATACAGCCACTGAATTCAAACTCAGCACATACCACTCACCACTCCATGGTGCATTTTTTTTATTCACTTCTCAGCCATCAGTTAGCACCATAACTAGCTCCAGCTGCTGCCACTAATCAGCCCCAAGTCTTTCCAACTGTTGCACACCCTTTATATACCTGCCTCACTTTCCACCGGCTCCCAGAATGTAATTAAACTAATTAGTCTGCTTATCTGGGGTCCCAGAAATGTTTTACTCTACCTTTTCCTGCAAGTCAGTCTTATTGGAAACACAGCAGCTTCTGGCTACAAACGTCTGCGCAGCTGCAAGCCATCTGACCTGTTAGTTTTCATTGGCAAAACTGAGTTTTTGGAGCATTGAATTATTTTGAGGCCGTAGTGGCAGTACAGATTGTTGCGCCAAATAAGAGCCTGAAAATGTCATGCATCTTATCTGTATAAAATAAACATATGTATTTGATATACATATGTGTTTTTTGTACCTCATTAAATAATTTGACTAATTTACCTATGAAACAATATCTTATAAACAACATGAACCTTTTTGGTTTGTCATTCGTACTATGAGTGCTTGGTGTAATAAAGAGGGTGATTGTGTTCCTCTGGTTTTTTTATTCAAGCAAAGTCGTTTTTGTACAGTAAAAGGGCTCTAACTTTTTTGTTTGTTTTGTTTTTTGTAGACAGTTTCTTCAGCTTTGGAAAATACACTTTCATAGGAAACAGATGAGGATGCTGTGATACGGTGCTTATTGGCTAGGTGGTATAGATTTGGATAGAGAGTTTTATGCTCTACCCAACTATTTCAGCGGATCCTCTGCTCGGTCCAGAGGATGAGCAGAGAAGTATTGCTACACCTCCTCTATAGCATCTGTAAAACCAAGATAACAACCTGTTATTACATTATTCATCTTACCTAATATGCGTAGATTGCTTGATGGTTCATGCCCCTGTTCTACACGTATTAGGTAAGATTAATAATGTAATAACAGGTTGTCACCTTACCTAATATGTGTAGATAAGGGACATGAACTATGGTTCATGTCCCTTATCTACACATATTACATTAATCACATAACCTAACATGAACAGGAACATGAACCATTGCTTGAGCCATAATAAATGAACTAAGTAGCGCCAAATGTTCAAATCTCTGCCTCTCACCTCGAAGCACTCAGCTGAGTCCACCTGAATGAAGCAGTGAAGGGGTTGAAACATCATCGGTCATGTCACGTGACGCAAACTCCAGCCCACTGCATCACCATAACCACCCTGTCGATTTTGAAGCATGCATCGAAGCATCAGTGTTGGAGTTTAGAGGTAACCTTACCTGTTGCACAGCTGCAAGGTACGTCTGTCCTTCTGGATAGCTCTAAGCCATGTCCGACCTTCTGGAAAGGTCTAAACCATTTCTGAACTTCTTCAAGCTACGTCTGACCTTCTGGACAGCTCTAAGGCACATCTGAATCTCTGGACAGCTCCAATCCATGTCTGCCTTTCTTGACCGCTCCATGCTGCATCTTACCATCACTGCAGGTTCTAGCTGTGGCTAATCCTCTCTCCAAACTGAAGTCTAGCCTGGTGCTGTCAGCTACTCCAGATCAAGTCTCTGCATTAATTGTCGGACACAATCCCAATGATCTCCAGGACCTGCCAGCCTGCACATTGTCTGCAACAACCTTGCCCTTGTCAATAAAACTTTAAAATGTCATGACATAACAGGAAAACCTTCTTGGCATTCCTTCGGCTTGGACTTCACCAGAAACCACACCTCAAATTGCAATTAAAATAGGGATCAGGGGAGCCAGGAAGCTCACAATTTACATGGGCCTAATGTGTCATCATGCTTTCACATAGCCAATTAACTTTTCATAGCCAGATTATAAACTGGAGTTTGTTGGTCTATATGTATAAGTAATGCATTAGTTGTATATATATATATATACATAACAGCTATATATATATATATATATATATAATTTTTATAATTTTTAAATTACAGAATTGTTTAGTACTACAAGCTGAAGGAGATGAAAGCAAACACATATATTTACATGTTAATGATTTTTGACAGGAGATATATGATAAGCAGAATGACATAAAAAAAAAAACTTTTTAGCAAAACATTACTCATTTAGTCGTTTTTATAAAACCAAAGCAAGCAAATACTAACTTTTAAATTAAGGCAAGCATAGCTTACCCACAGAATTTTCAACTGACTTTACAAAGAAAATGATCAAACTAAATAGTTTAAGTTAATTAGTTCAAAACTTAAAATAACTAGATAGATAGGTAGATAGATAGATAGAAAGAGAGATAGATAGATTCCAGTCAAAGCGCAGAGAGAAATATAGATAAGAAATATTTGTACAATCAATGTGTACAGGTGGCATTCATCCATTTTGACAGAGCTGAGCAGTTTTACAAAGAACAATTTAAATTGGTTAAGAAACAGATTTAGAGCTGTGCTGCAATGTGGCTCTATGCATGGGGGATGACTATAAAAACCCAACTAACTATTCAGATACATTAAAGAAATGAAAACAGTATATATAATTTCCTTCCTGTTCTGTCATTAAAAGGGTTTATGATTTTGACAGATAAATAGGAACATTTCAGGGGACTGATCTTTGTCTCCTGGGCTTAAAAAAAAAAACAAAAAAACAAGAAGAGGCCTGCTGAGAGGGAGGAAAACACTTTGCAGATGCTTGTTATTTTTTATTAAAAGTTAAAGAAAGAACAGTTATAATACTATGATAAAATATTTGACTATAACACACAAAGCATTTCAGTTAAACTATTAGCAGTAGACTAGTAATAGTTTCTCCAAATGATCTCATCCCAAGGTTGACAGATTTACTTTGACCCCTTAAAGCGTCAGTAGGGGTGACGTCCCTTCACCTCCCCCTCAAACCTCACAGACATCATCATTATTGGCTCCAACAGGCCATCAGAAACGGATCAATTAGGGTTGTTTCCCCCCATTTTCTTCAGACGGATCATCATCCGCCCACCTCGGCTCTGATTTGACGAATTTCTTTTGTCACGATAAACCTCATCTCGCCTGCCTATATAAGAAAGGGAAAGTTTCCTAAGATTCAAGCAAAAACAAAGTGTCCAGAGACTAAAAGCAGACAAGAAGAAGCATCGTTTTCCTGTGCGTAAAACTTAATAAAAGTGCCAAAAGATGGAAAAGTCGGTGAGGTTCGCCGTGGTGTGCGTCGGAGTGTCTCTGCTCATCTCCTGCCAGCCGGTCCAAGCCTGGTACAAGCAGGTGACCGGACCCAGCTACTACTCTGTGGGCCGCGCCTCCGGGCTCCTGTCCGGCATCAGGAGGTCTCCATATGTCCGGAGAGCAGAGACCGAGGAAACGGTGATGGACAGCGGGGAGGCGGCGGGGGGCAACGCGATCCAAGACACCAACAGGCAGATCTCCGTCCTGAAGAACATGGTAGGCGCACATTTGTTTTCAGTTACGAATGAGACGCCTGTTGCATTAAAATCAGACATCATTTTGATGCAAAGGGTTGAATTCCGGTGTTAAAGAAAAAACCCGTGACCCGTGATATGTGACAAGCGCTTTTTGTGATGGAGTCTCTACTATCCATAACTTCACAGGATTCATACTTAAAGCAAATGTGAGGAAATTAACACGTAAACCTAAAGAAGTTTATTGAGAAACACATAGATCTCACTATATGAAGGATCACAGTGTTTTTGTTTTGTGCGCAAATACGCACAGCTGCGCTTGTTACAGTTTGCACAGAAAAAAGCTGCTCTGGTGGTTAGAAATAACTATTTGGATTGAAAAAATTAAAACAAATAAACATTTATTCTCACAGATTTTTATTTTTTTTTTTACAAAATCCCTTAATTTTCAAGCGTTTCATTTTAGTTTTCGCTTCTCTCTATCTTGCAGGCCATCTGTCTGAAGGACATCTCTCCAAACCTGAAGAGCTGCGAGCTGCTGCAGGATGGGACTGGCACCTTCCAGTGCAAGGCAGATGTCTTCCTCACTCTGGACTCCTTGGACTGCCTGTCTGCATGAGTCCCTGTAAATCCTCCTCATCATCCTCTTAAAAAAAAAAACATTAAAAAAGATATATAGAGAAAAGCAGATAGAGATCAAAACAGAGATGATGGATAGACAGAGATGGGTTTTGATAACAGAGTGTGTGGCTGAATATTCTCTCTTTTATTTTAAAGTGAAAAAAAAATAAATGTTCAATTTTGCTTTACGTTAGACTTTTAACGACACCTGTTTCAATTTTGGTGCAATAATAATTATGTCTTTTATAATGTGTAGAAGAAAAAAAATATGTAAACAAGGAAAAAAATAAAGTCAAAAGTTAGTCAAAGCCATTTCATCCCTTGTATACACCAAAAATGTTCAGAAATGTCCCCAAGTTTCTCTGCAGTTTTCAAGAATTCCTGTAAATGACTTTTATTTATTTATCTATTAAAATGAACAAATAATATTAACATGTTGTTTGAATTTTATTTGTTTCTTTAACTCTCATCCAAGACAAGAGAAAAAAAAAATCTTAAGAGCGTCACATTTATTTTGTTCGGAATTTCAAAATAACAAAAACATACAAAGATGAGGTTCACAGAAAGGAATATTCTCTTGTTAAAATACACACATCACTACTTCATCATCATGTAAGGCACTTGAGGGTGTTTTGTTTTTTTTCCTCTGCGGGTTCCCTATCAGACTGCAACATCCATCATCATATCTGACTGAAGTCAGGGTGTGTTGGCACTATCCGTTGCTCGGGGGAACCCTTCAAAAACAAACTCCGGAAAAGATAATGCCACAAATCACACATGCAGGAGGCAGCGTTTTGCATGACAACCCCGAGTTTATGAGTGTATGTGTCAGATCCAGAGACAATAACCCTCGCCGATAGAAAGAAAGGAAATTAAATCCAAGTCAGACGCCTCAGGGATGTTTTTAATGTACATGTTTTGCTTCTAATAAGCTTTGAAGCATCATCATTGGCTAATATTAGTCAGTGGGACAGTTAATGGCACAGATTAAGATGCCTGCTGCGTCTGGGGTCTCGGATGAACACAAACCGGTGAGCTGTAATACAGCGATGAGCGCCTCATTAGGAGGATGTGACGCACAGTGTGGGGACATGGTGATGGATGAGGGGAAAAACACATGATGGTATGCATGGGTGAATCCTGCAAGTTAAGGGGACATACAGTAAAACCGCCTCGCTGTTGAGCTTTCTGCACAAAACAAAACAAGGGGAAAGGCCCATGTGTTTAGCAAGCTTTTCCAAGATGCTTAGCGCTTGGTTTTATGTAATAGTCAGTTAAATATTAATAAACAGCAAAGTCTTTGTTTTGGTTAACTTTTTTTTAATGCTACTTCACTGGGGGAGGTTTCAGCATCCAGAGTTCCACAGCACCTCTCCCAGCTACAGGAGGGACACAGCCTCCAAATTCTCCTTAATGATCGTGTCCATAACCACCTGAAAGACCACCTGGATGTTGGAGGTGTCGGTTGCCGTGGTGAAATGGTGGTAGATGAGCTTCTTAGGTATTTTGTTGAGCGAGACGAAAGTGGCGACAATAAATCCTGCAGCTGAATCTACATCGCAGTCAGCACCTGGGGGATAAAACAAAAGTTTGCTTTTCTATTACTGATAGAAAGATGGTTTATCCTACTAATTAAGGCCTCTGGTTCAGGCAGAGATGTGAGACATAAAATTTGATCCTCTAGGGATGGATCGGCTTTAAGGGTTTAACAACCACTGCATGAAACAAAAATGAACTATGACCCCCTGCAGAGAAATGGATTGGTTAATTAAATGGCTGACTGGAGACTGAATGGCTGGCAGCTATGTTTACACTAAGGATCTTACTGTTGTGAAACTTTGGGTTTTACTTACAGCTCTGATCCAGAGAAAGTATAAAAGTTTAACAGGCTACAGTGTTTTGTATGCAGGCATCTCTGCTGTACAAACAGGCAACCAGTGACCTTATTTATTTTAGTCTCTGCTTATTTTGATGGGGCAGCAAATGCTGGCAGTCTTTTAACAACATTTCATACTATATTGGGCTATTTTTATTTTACCTAATCTCGCTAATTACTGTTTTCGTACAGATTTTCCATTTAAAAAATACATTGTTTTCCAGACCGGCATAAAGGGGGTTTACAGTTATATTTCAATGTTGCGAACATTTGAAATGTTGTGAATATTTGAATCCAAAGAATTTATCTAGATAGTTGCTAAAAAAATTTCCACAGCACTTAGAAACTTAGATGTGCTCTCATTCAAATCTATAATTCAGAGGGCCTGATCTTTAAAATGTTTACTTACATGTGCTTGAACTAGTACTATCTTATAAAACGTGCTAACATTTCTGCACAAGCAGAGCATAAGGCACAAAATGGGTAAAACTAGCAATTCACCAGGTAGTGCATACATGCCTTTTTTTGCTTGCATCTTCAACAATTTGTAAATAAAACTTTAATGACCAAACTGCAAACATTAATGGATGAGGATATCCAAATGTAAACATTTACCAGGTGCAAAGGGATTTTCCTAATCTAAAACTCCACTGTCTCTGCAGTTTATGTTTTAGCAACAGGTACAAACCCAAAGCAAAGATTTCTTTGGTCATTGTGACCACAAAGGATGCATCAATACATGGAGAGATATTCTGTGCGCATTTACACATCTGGAGAGTAAGAAATTAACCTAGCATGAGCAAGATTGATGCCTGTAGTTCAATTTGAATTCTACATTTCAGTATTATTCTGAAAAGGCTCCTGTGTAAAATGTTCACAAAAGTGAGGGACATTCAGCACAATTATTCAAGTGGATTGGGTAAACCTTCATGTGGCACCTTCCTACTATGTCTAGCTTTTAGCCAATCACAGCAGCAGTGGCAGCTGTGACATGTGCTTGATTTGTTTTACAACTAGCAGAGCTAAATGATAAATCAAACTCTTACCAAATCCAGTTGGCACAATCATGTCCTTATGCTTGTTATGCAAAAGTAAATAGAGGATATTCCAGATAAAACTGGCGCAGCCATGCTTGTTACTACAAGCCCCCCAGAATTGCCCCATTTACGCTACCCCTCTGAAACCGATCTGTGCCAAGTACGGATCGAGCTTGGATCAGTTAACCGTGCCGAGCTTGGTTCCTTATGGCCATCACGCTAGCACGGTTCCTTGCCTCCTACCAGTTGTCCACAGTACTACAGCTGACAAGGCAGAAAACCTGTGAAGTGAGTCAGCTGACAGTAAATAGTAGATGACGCGGTCTACTCATGCGCTCTTTGTTATCAGAGAACCATGCCACAACTGAGCCGTACCGAGCCCTGCTGTTGAACTAGTACTATATTTAGCATGGTCTGGTTGTGTCTTGCACGGTCCAGTTCAGCTGCATTCCATTTACACTCAACAGTTATCTCTGTTACAGTGCTCGGACCGTTCTCGGCACGGTTTCAAAAGGGTAGAGTACATGGGGCTTATGTCTCAACCATGAGTTGTTGCTCTTTCTCTGCATTCCTCTTTTGCTTTTTATGTGACTGTCGATCAGTGTTTTTCGATCCTGGTCCTCAAGGCACCCTTCTCTGCATGTTTTGGATGTTTCTGAGGTTCAGCAAACCTGATTAAGATGATTGCAGTTCAGCAAAGCCTGATGATCTGCTATCAATTGATAACAGGTGTGTGAAAGCGGGGAAACATCTAAAACATGCAGGGCACGGTGCCTTGAGGACCAGGATTGAAAAACACTGCTGTAGATACTGTCATAGTACCATAGATTCTTTCTGCTTCTAGACCTTTTCCTGTGCATTAAAGTCAACTTTTGTCACTTTAAGGGTAGAACAAACCTGAGAAAGTAAAGTGTCTCTAATTCGCTGCTTTTTAGGAAATCCGACGTCAAATGTTTTCTTCTTCGCTTCATTTAGTTAAGTTAGCAAAGCATCTTCAGGCTACTACCTTGTTTTGTAGTGTTTCGGGTCAATCGGGTATTGAGAGGAGTTGCTGGAGGTAATTCCAGGTATTTAGGGCACACTCTGCTGTAAATCTGACTGTGACTCTTTGGGGAAGGGTGGGGGGTCAATCTACAAAGACAACTTTTCCCATGTGCAATGATATCATTTATTTAATTTTCATTATTTTTATCATTTAATTCTTTACTTTTGTTTGAAGCACCTTGAAGCTAACTATGTGGAGAGCGCTTTAAATATTATTAAGTTAATATTAGCATTATTATATTAAATTATTTTTTTATCAATATCACCTCTGATAGCTTAGAAGCTCATCTTTCACACTGAGCCTGGTTCTGCTGGAGGTTTCTTCCTGCTGTTAAAAGGGAGTTTTTCCTCACCACTGTCACTACAATCATGCTTGATTGCCTTCGAGTCAATGAGTCGATGCAATCAACTGGTTTTCCTTAGATAGAAAACTTGAAATCAATTTGACTGGATGATCTGGTGAACTGTAAAGTTTCTTGAGATGACGTGTGTTGTGAATTGACGCTATATAGATAGATGAAGTGAACTGAATTGAATAAAGGCCACTCTCAAACTTCCAGAAGAACACGCAATCAGGTAGTTTTAATTGGGCAGAACAAATTGCTTTGCATATTTATTATGTAGGGGAGTGGCGGCCTAATGGTTAGGGGATAGGGCTTTGAATTCTGAGATTGGGAGTTCGATCCCTCACTCCCCCAGACTGCCACTCTGGGTCCCTGAGCAAGACCCTTAACCCCACACTGCTCCCCGGGCGCCGTACAATGGCAGCCCACTGCTCCCCAAGGGGATGTGTTAAATGCAGAGATAAATTTCTCCAATGTGAGATCAATAATGTTCAATTTTTGTGGCATCTTTGTGGCATTATGCATTAAAGGTGATAAATGTAACTCCTCCAGACCAGGAAAATGTGCATCTGCGCTCACCTGCTTCACCTGTACTGTTTGCTAGTTCAGAAGAAAAGCGGTAACCTCCATTAACCTTCTGAGCCACTTTGTTTCCAATGCTCAAAAGCTTGATGGATGCTAACCATTTTTTTTTCTTTGAAGAAACCTTTTTTAAAGAGCTGTCATGGAGTTGCTAGGATCTGGCAATGTCTTAGCTCCATCTCATGTGACTTTAATCCACTATTCCTATTGCTGCATTATCCTTTCAACTAATGCTGACATAACCAGAAGTAAATATCTAGATATTTTGAACCTG